GCTGCTCTCCAGCTGCCCAGCTCTGAAGGCAGTGCCACTGCCAGCAGCAGTGCAGAAGTAAGGGTAGCAGTACCGCAACCTCCCATACAATAACCTTGTGATTCCCCACCCCCCCCCCCCTCCACATACACACACACACCTCCTTTTTGGGTCAGGACCCCTACAATTACAACACTGTGAAATTTCAGATTTAAATAGCTGAAATCATGAAATTTACTATTTTAAAAATCCTATGGCTGTGAAATTGACCAAAATGGACTGTGAATTTGGTAGGGCCCTAATTATGGGACAGCATTCAAAAGTCACTTAATTACAAATTAAATCTTCCTATGTGAGGAGAGATGTTTAACCATTTTATTTCTGTAAAATTTAACCTTTCATTTAAAAAAAAGTTTCTAGCCCTTATGTTTGCAAAGATAACCTCCTCTACATTAATCCATGCAGCATTTTCTTGTTATGCCTGGAAACCACTCTAGTGTCTATGCTGTTGCTTATTGAAGAGCAATGAGCAGCAACATAGTGAATATGAAGACACTGATCATATTCACTGCTGTTACTCTGAGTCTGGTGGACAACAGCAAAATTGACAATCATATCAATGACACTCTATTGCTACTTAGGAAAATTAGCCCAGCAAAAGCCCTGCACCACAACTATTCAGGAGAGAAGAGAACCCAAAAGCAACAATGATACCCTCGGCTCTCTGAAAACGGCCTGGAGGACAGAAGGGTAGAGTGGCAGAGATTCCGCACCTAAACAGAAGTCATGAGGCTCTGGATGAGAGCAGAGGGGGAAGGGATGCATGTGCAACCTTATCTATCATTTCCTGATTTTTGGATGTTTCATCATGCGACCTTAATTTCTCTTAACATAGTTATTTGGATGAAATTCCTAAGTTCTGTCAAACAGAAAAATCAATTCCATGACATGCAACTACTCATTTGTCTAGATATCACTGGAATCCTCTGTATCAGATTCCTAATAAGGTCTACAGGAGGGCATCCTACTCCAGCACACTTTAGACATGCCACAGGAGACCTGGACTCCTTAGGAGCTGTGCAGCTTTTATCTTGCAAGATGCATAGAGATTGAGACAAGGACTATAACTGGTCTGCACAAATATGCAGTAAAGCCTTCCTGAACTACATACACAAGCTGTCAAAAGAAGCTTATTTTTAATTAATGGAGAAAGTTAATTTTCCACTCGTCTTGTACTCAGCTTTTTTTTTGGCTCATTTTTTCCAAAACAACTACACCCAGAGGCAGACACAAAAGCCTGGAAAATTTAAGCTTGAAAGATAAAAGTGTCAGATAGTTATAAATGCCTGAACACCTGTACAACCTTAAATGTAGCAGTACTGATTGCCCCCCACTGTAATGTATGGTCTGAGGGCTGGTCTAATTAAGCTGAAAGTTGACCTAACTTATGCTACTTCAGTTACATAAGTTACTGTCGCAAAGTTCCTCCTCTGGTGGGTCCTGCGCTTATTGGCGGATTTGCTTGCCTCACAGATTCACCATGTGGATTGGGAAACAGCCCAGAGACCTTCCCCTCTGGTAGAAGCCACAGTCCAGGTCAATTCCTCCTGTGTCTGATCAGGAGTTGGGAGGTTTGGGGGGAACCCGGGCCCGCTCTCTACTCCGGGTTCCAGCCCAGTGCCCTGTGGACTGCAGCTGTCTAGAGTGCCTCCTGGTACAGCTGCGCGACAGCTACAACTCCCTGGGCTACTTCCCCATGGCCTCCTCCCAACACCTTCTTTATCCTCACCACAGGACCTGTCTCCTGGTGTCTGATAATGCTTGCACTCTCCTCAATCCTCCAGCAATATGCCTTCTCACTCTCAGCTCCTAGTGCCTCTTGCTCCCAGCTCCTCGCATGCACGCTACAAACTGAAATGAGGTCCTTTTTAACTCACGTGCCCTGATTAGCCAGCCTGTCCTAATTGCTTCTAGCAGTTTCTTCTTAATTGGCTCCAGGTGTCCTAATTAGCATGCCTTAATTGGTTCCAGCAAGTTCCTGCTTGTTCTGGAACCGCCCGTTACCTTACCCAGGGAAAAGGGATCTACTTAATCTGGGACTAATACATCTGCCTTCTAACACTCTCCTGTAGCCATCTGGCCTGACCGTGTCACATAACGTAACTGAAGTCGACATACCTAAGGTTGACTTACAGCATGTCTGCACTGCGCTGTGTTAACAGGAGAGCGCTCTCCTGCTGACTTACCTTACGCTTCTTGGGGACCTGGAGTACAGATGTCGACGGGAGAGCACTTCCCCATCAACTTAGCGGGTCTTCACCAGACCCACTAAATGGACACTGCTGCGATTGATGCAGCAGTGCCAATTTAGCTGTAAGTAGAAACAAGCCCTGAGAATGAATGTCAGGCATAGAACTTTTTCTTTAGAACTAGATGGTTATTTCATTAGTATCCTTTCCCTTCTACTTTTTGCTTAGAACTTAGAGAAGCCTAAAAATTCTATCCATAATCTAACAGTGTGAAGGTTCTCAAATACATTTCTAAAAAGGAAACTATGACCTCTATACTGCACCTAGATTCCATATGTGTGGATATATTTGTCTGCATAGAGCCTCAGTCATTTCTGGAAACTTGTATGAGAACAGGGGTACATCTGTGCAAATCTAGTCATACACTGGGGCCTACCTCCTCAAAAGAAATGGCTAGTGCACTGCTAACAGCAACAAAATTTGTACAAGACAAACTACTAGCAAGAAATCATGTGTTATTTAATCAGTCTTTACGAAGTGTTTTATTTTTTTGTACATAAATGAAAAGCAGTATTCACAAAGCAATTTCATTAAAAAAATATTAAATGACCCACTTAATTTTAAAAAAATTACATATAAAAACAATTTAATGTACAAAAGATACTTTACAACAGTCTTAACACTGTAAGCAGTATATTCCATGTAGCTTAATGCTTTCTTTCATGTCTACATTGTGTGTGCGCATAGACACAAATACTTTACGATTTCAAAATCTGAATATCAATATATAAACAATTAATACAAGTGACCCATATACACACATGCAAAGTCACAGACTGGCTGCAAACTATTAAGGAAATATTTATAACAAACCACCTCCGTGACTATTTTATATGAAATGTAAACAAAGAGGGATTTCACTAACAGATTTTAATGTTCATTAGCTAGAAACATTTTTGGAACCAACCAACCAAATGCTATATGAAAATTCCAGGTGCCATAATATCATGCGGTAGTTTAAGAAAATTAAGAATTTTCTGTGGTGAACCACATAAACATAGTTCTTACTGAGTAATTTATTTATACACCCGTTTCAGTTTTAAAAATACAGTAACATGCTACCATTTAGTTAAAAATCAAAACTGTGGGTACAATTTTCAAAAGTGCTTAAGTGGCACAGGAGCCTAAGTCTCATTGTATTCAATGAAAGTTAGGCTCCTAAGTGATGTAGGATGTCACTTTGGTGCTTTTGAAAATTTTACCCTCTGCGCATATTTATTCAAGGATCATTTCAGGCTGCAGGATTACAGTCTGGGCAGACAATCCCCACCACACGCTGCATGATTTTTATCCTGCTGAACAGCATTATGCATTGCATCTTCAGGATCACCAACAGTACTAATTCAACAGATCTGAGAAATATTAAGGGTTAGTCACCAAGTACTTACATGTAAAGTTAGACACTGAGGCCCCAATCTGCAATGATATCTGTGGAGATGAACCCATGGGCCTACGCAGCGCTCCATTGACTTCAGTCGGACTCCAACCACATATGGCTGTCCACCCACACAGATGTCATTGCAGGACTGGGTTCTAAGTGCTGAATTCTTTCATCAGATACTTGCACGTAACTTGTGATTAAATCAACAGGAGTTCTGTGCAGGTATGATTTGTGCAGAATTTGGCTCTAAAACTGCTAGCAGCATCTAATGTTAAAGAAGGGTTTGGGAGAAGAGTACAAAGAGGAAATGAGAGAACAGAGACAACACAATAAGACTAGACAGAACAGGGCGAAGACAAGACAGAAGCAGCAGAAGCAAAGAAACAATTTATTCCACTAAATATAATAGCACTTCTTCCACCAGAGATTTGTAACACCTCCATTAGAAAAGCCAATTCAAGCCATCAGGAAGTGGCAGGAACAGGAAAAGACCAAATCACCTAAAGTAAACTAAAAAAGACTGGGCCATTAAAAAAAAAATTATTAAAATGTTAAACCATTTTTTCATTACTGGTAGCACACTATCCCATTTAAAATAAATTTGGAGATCTGTCTATTGCACAAATTCTTCAGATAAGACCTAAATCTTAATGGGAAAAACAGATTCTGGGTATCAAGTAAAGGGCTGTTCATATTTAGAGAGACTTCAGAAAACAGCTAACTTGAATGAAGATTTTTTTTAAACATTTCTGAACTATTCAGTCAGTATTTTGAGCCAGTGAACAGCCTCACCATGATCTTCCTTGCTTGCTTACTGTTCAGCAAGTAAAATTGGAGCACTTACTATGAAAATCTGAAATGATAAAAGAACTAGCGTACTGGAGGGATTGCCCTGTGATAGCAACAAAAGTCATCTAGGGCTCTCTCTGTTTAAGGTGAGAGACAGCAGAAAGTTCTTCTCATAATTTGAGAGAATGTGACATCCTTCAAGAAAAGGCTCAAGAAACTGTTTCCATGTTAGTTTATGTTGGGAAAAATATATATAATTTGTGAGCAAAATAGGAGGATGTTGGGTTTTTATTTCTGCTCTTTGAGTTACCTAAACAAGCTATGTTTACATTAAGTATGTTTTAAGCTAAGGCTCCTAAAGGCTTCTGGATAGGAGTGACTAAACAAACAAACAAAAATCAAGCTGATCAGTTAGAATATAAACACTGCAGGGCTACCATCTTTATTAAAAGGCACTAGAACCATGAACTCTATTCTGGAGAAGTTAGAAGATCAAAAATACTTCAATACAAAAAAAAAAAAAAAAAAAAAAAAGAGTCTGATCCTCATATGTTTGAAGAATTCCCTAAATAGTGACAATTTACAAATGTCTACCAGCTAAACAAATTAATGTATAGTAAATGAAACCTGCATTCCAGTGCTTTCAAATACATTTTTATAACTAAACTGACATTACTACTTAAAGCTAGGAACAATTCTAAATATTAAGGTTTCTTTTTTATAAAATCAACTTATTAAAGCTCCACCATTAAGATTTAACCCATTATTTCATAACAGTTTCCTGGTTCTATCTGAATAAAGTTATGGTAAACTATAAACAAGCTTATTTTTCTAGTAATAATAGTACTTGTATAGCATATATTGCAGATTGACTGTTGAAAATACTGACTGGTAGTCCATGGATCCAAGTGAAAAACTACTACTATTTGACAAACACAAACACCTGTGTAAAGGTAGGACTACCTATAGACAGTATCAGAGTCCAATGACTATTAGATAAGAAATGAAGTTCAAGACCTTACTTTTGGCCTCACATATTCAGACTCGAAATAACGAGCACTGGCTCCAGCAAGAAAAGAGAATGCAAAAATTACACATTTCCATTACTAAAGGCAACTTTTTCCTAAAAGGAGAAACAGCACCTATAGCTTGTCATTGCCTTTTCACTAGGCATGACTAATGACAAAGGGGAAAAAAGGAACGTTTTTCTTCCAACACACTTCAAACAGACTTAAAATAGGTGATGGATTCCAACTGGAAAAATTTTGATGAAATATATACTATGCACACAATTGTTTTCCAATATCCTTAAATGCCCAGTTTTAACACTTGGATGTTTTGAACAGATATAAAAACTGTAACCTTAAGTTATAGTACTTTGCTGTCATAAAAAAGTCTGGTCCCACCAAAAAGCTAGCAAATGGCTTATCAGGTATAGTGGTCAATGACTGATTTTTCTGGGGTTATTTCTTTTAAATGACTGGAGCTTTTGAGAACATAAGATAATTTTCTAAGATTAGTGACATCACTATGACCAAAGTATATAAAAGAATAATGAAATTGAGAATGAAATTAGCAACAGTTGGAAATTAAACCATGCCACAAAACAGTTTAATTACGTAACGTACCAGAAACTTTAATCTTTAAATTTAAGTATATCTAATCAAATTAATCCAGAGCAATATCTATTTTAGGTTTTGTTCTGCAATATAACCAAACAGTAAAATAGAATGGTAAATCTAGGATTTTTTTTTTTTTTTTTCAAATTAAGTCTATTTTTTCTTATTTAGAAACGTACTTTTGTACAGTAGTATTCTATATATGTGCAATTCCTACGTATTAAAGATTAAGACTTTGTGAAAATTAAAATATTGTATCTTAATGAAAAGTATGCAAAAAATAAAAATACAGACACTCAGTGCAGTAGTTTAAAAGTTCACATAATTTTTTGATCAACTATTTGTTGAGAATTATCAAATGTATAATTAAAAAATACAGAATGTGAATTCTGGGTCATAAAGTCACACCATACAAAATTTATAAAATCATTTAAAAAGGCTCTGAAGGACAAATACTATTTCTTTCCCCTACTTTACACTATTCTCTCGTAAAGGCTCTTTTTTGTCCAGCTTTTACAATGTCATCAGGAGATGCTGATTTAAAGTCAAATGGTGTTATTGATATTAAAGGGTCACTTTCCTTATTTTTTACTTCTTGTACTTGCCGACTGTATAGGAAAGTCTTATGGATATCAATTGTGCGCCGTTTATATCCTTTTGGAGGATAACGGAGACACAAAGTTAAAGCAAAAGCTGACGGTCTGGCACAGAGAGCCTTCATCCATGAGAGAGAGAGATCCTGGCGCTTAGAAATACGTCCTTTTTTGCCTTTTTTATTTCCTTTAACTAAAATAATATTTTTTCCTTGCTTTGAACTTAAAACTTTAGTTTCTGGGACAATGGTATTTGACTGGCGTACTACTGCTTCTGCAGATACTTCTGGATTTTTTATAAGGACACTTAAGTCAATGTTTGTGTTTACTCCTGCAGAAGGCCACATTTCAGCTATACTGAACCTCGAACAGTCTTTTACTTCTTGAGGCTTATCTACTTCAATGGTTTCTGCAATTAAATCTGAAAGTGACAAATTCTCAAGTTCTCTTACTGGAGAAGCCTGAGACAATGCCAGAGAAGACAGAGATCCAGTTAATTCTGACAGCCCAGTTGCAGCTTGATGTTGACCAGCTAGTTGTGACAATGGCGAGGATCCCAATTTCAAATCTATAAAACTCATAGATGATTGGTTATAAAGATCAGACAAAGAACAACAGTGGCTTGAATTACTTTCCTGGTGCTCTTGAAGTAGGTCAGCCAGTGATGGACCTCCAGACTTTGAAAATGGCAAACTACCCATTTCTGAAGATGAGATGTCTTGCCTGGTACTTTGTAGAAATGAAGGAAAATTTTCAAAATGCTCAGTCTTTCTATTCTGAGTACAGTTTATATCATTATCAAGTGCCAGTTTCCCTACAGCACTCATTAAGCCAAGACTACTATCCATACTTCCTTTACTATTATGATCTGAAGAATTTTGGGCCCCAAGCAGTCCCCTGTCTTGGAGGCTCAAATAATCATTAGTTATATTCTGCATCAGCAAAGATTTCAAGTCTTGTGATTCCTTGCACTCCAACTGCTTCCAGGCAGGATTTTCAGATTGACTAGCTTCCAATAATTCAGCACCTACACACAAGCAAATTTTGCCTTCATTGCTGGAAATCAAACTTACTGTGCTGGTATTGTCTGGTAGTCGTACTGCTACATGTTTATTGACAGATTCATAACATGATTCTTCATACATATCATTACTGAGGGAAGAATATAGAACTCCTGAAGATTTATTAGAAGATTCAGATATTTTCTTTTCTATTGAGGATATATTAGAATGTTTAGCTTTGAAGAGTGTTTTGTCACTTAAAGTTGAAAAGTAACTAGGTGATTTAGTTTTGACTGTCAGGCTACTGAGCTCAGACATGTTGGTGTTTGCTGAAGAGTTTTCTATTAAGTAAGACAAGTTCTCTGAATAAGTAAAAGTTTCTGAACAAAGTAAATCTCCTTACCTTACAATAGCCAATAATTTTCAGATAGATGCACAGTCACAACGAAAAATTCCATTTTTTTAAGGAGACAGCAACAGCAAAGTTAAGAAGAAACATGAAAGGCATTTAATTACTAAATGTTACTTGAAAAATTGCATTGCATCATAGTCTCTATAATCAAATAGAACTGAGAGTTCTGAAGGGCATTTATTCAATCATTTAGCAAAATTATTATGATTATCCACCAAAAGAAACACTAAGTTAGTAAATGAATATCAACCCTTAAGATGTCTGAATCCACACAACCAAGCTATTGTACTAACTCTACAAAAACAGTCTTGCTATATCACAAGCAAACATTTAAAATGTCTTAACATTTGCGGTCTCAAAAAAAAAAAAGTTAGCAGTTGGATAACTTAAGTAGTAACATAACTAAAGTATTTGTTAGAAAACAGAATTTCATTGGGAATTGTGGTTGCTTACATTTTGAATTTAGGGGGGAGGACCAAGTCTAAAACTAAAACTTGATTTTAAGTTTTGTAAAAACTACTGCTTCCTTTAAAGAGATGTTCTCTATATATCTTAAAACCATGAAATGTATTTAGAAATAGAAGATTGAGAACTTTGTTTTGTTTTCCAATGAGTAATCTTGATATAACAGTGCAAGTATCTTCCAGTTCTAAACTCGAGTATCCTATGCACAGCCAGTGAACTTTAATCTAAACCAAAACATAATTAAATAAAAGCATACCTTTTGTTGTCTTTCCTGTAATCACAGCTTCTTCATTCTTGGTCTTCACATTTTGCTTACTGTCTTGTGCAAGCACAAGATCCAAAGCCTTCTGTACATCAAATTTACTATTCAACACTGCTTCCACCATCACCTGCTCTGGTGCAGTTTCCCCCAGCACTTCTCTCATCTGGTCAAGGCACGAATAAAGACGAGCTACAAAAGACATCAGTAGTTATAAAATTATAAAACATGTGTTTTCACAAAATGGCATGATAAATTACTAAAACCATACTTGCAATACATATATTTGGGGTGGGGCAGAAATGGTAATTATAAAACCATTCCTCTGGCAGGCTCTCTTACCCCCAGTACTGAAGAGTTTTTCAATTATTTCCCCAAAACATTACTACAAGAAATACATCTAATGGTTTTAAAATTGCCTTTAAAGGGCTGAACACTTAATTATGAGGTGTTACCAACATGAACAGTATTCATGCCGAAGAAGAAATGCAATTATTCAGCTTAAAACTATTCAAAGTAATTTGATAAGACCATGTGATATCCATTTAACAGCACATTTTAAGTGTTTACAGATACTGTATTTAACTTTTATGGTAAACAGCACCTTTTCAGGCCTTGGAACTTAGCAACTAATAACCATAAATGCTAGCATCTTTAGATTAATGCTTTAGCATTAAAGCTACCTGAAATCTTACCTTTCCGAGAACTGAGAGGGGTTTCTGGGTCTTAAAATTCATATTCTTTGAAGCCAGACTTCTCTATTAATATTGCGTACATTACAGAAAGTAAAGGGAAATGAAAGGGAGGCTGCAGAATACAGTGATGGACAATCCTAAAAACAATAAACCAAAATCATAGAATCATAGGACTGGAAAGGACCTTGAGAGGTCATCTAGTCCACTCCCCTGCACTCATAGCAGGACTAAGTATTATCTAGTCCATCCCTGACAGGTGTGTCTCTCTCTCTTTAAAAATAAGTAAATTATACTCTGTTTTAAACTGAAATTTCTTTTGTATATTCCTTCATTCCATTACTGGAGATTTTTAAGAGCAGGTCAGACAAAGTCGGTACGGTAATATCTTTTATTGGACCACCTTGTATTTTAAAAAGGACAGTTCAAAAATATCCTCACACTGGCTGTTTAGCACAGATCCCTACTACAGATCTCTTATATGTTTTAAATCAGGGGTCGACAACCTTTCAGAAGTGGTGTGCCGAGTCTTCAGTTATTCACTCTAATTTAAGGTTTCAAGTACCAGTAATACATTTTAACATTTTTAGGTCTCTTTCTATAAGTCTACATACAACTATAGTTTTGTTATATATTATAAAGTAAAGAAGGTTTTAAAATGTTTTAAGAAGCTTCATTTAAAATTAAATTAAAATGTAGAGCCCCCTGGACAGGTGGCCAGGCCCCGGGCAGTGAGAGTGCCATTGAAAATCAGCTTGCATGCTGCCTTTGGCACGCATGCCATAGGTTGCCTACCCGTTTTAAATCAATGCTACATATATATATATATATATATCTCCATTAGAATAGTATTTCCTACCTCTCCCAATGTCAATGACCTTGCCTTTATTTTCTAACATTACAAATATTTTACACATTGGTAAATGCCTCCCTTCCCCCCCTCTTGGAACTGCATACACAGAAACCAAACAATATTATCCTTGACAAAGATAAAAAATTCACAGTCACATACCCTTAACCCTTTGTTCAATCTAAGAAAATACAGTTGAATCTGGCTGTTATTCAACCCACCCCCACCACCAAAAAAAATTGTGGAACTGACATGGCATTTGCTGCCTTCACATTGTAACTCTCACATTGTTAATTCTCCTTCCCTTCCCCTACCTCCCCCACCCCGCCTGTGCCTGTCTTGTCTACTTAGACTGTCAGCACTTTGGGGCAGGGATCATCTCCTTCTCCATGTTTGTACAGTCCTAGCACAATGGGGGCCCTACTTGGTTGGCCTCTAGGCACTAGCATAATAAACATGATTGATAATAATTCAAATTTCTGATCACAGTGAGAGTTCTATAATGGAGAAGAAAACTTTCTTCATCTCCATTACAGGCACAACATATATCTTTCAAGATTTCTTTGCCACACATCAATCAGAAAGATGCAGTGTGAAACTTCTGATACTGTCTCTCTACCCACTAATGTAATGATTCATCTGTTGCAGGTCATTTAAACGCCAAGGCAAAGTTAATAATGTTCAGAATTTAGGAATAAAATATCAGTATTCAAGGACAAACAGAAAATTACATCCTACTACTATCAATAAAGTGATCCATTATATTTACAGCATTAACAATCAGCAAGTCCTAAGTCCTCCATCCCCAGCAGAGCAAAGCTGAGCCCTGACATCAAACAGGAGAAGGTAATGATTCTGACCATCCTCTTCACCAGAACACTACACTACCAAGATTTAAAGCAATGCCATCTTTACGTGCTGAGCCAAAACCCACATGACATGCCTCATGACTGCAATGGCAACCATAAGATCTTTGAAGCTCTTTTTAAGAGAAATTAAATGCAGAAAACTAAGATAACACAATATTAGCATCCCACAATAAATATTTTAATGTATCAAGAATCACAGAAAGGCTATTTGCCAGTAGCTGTGATTCTTCAGTCACCCTGTGCATTTATACTTGGGGGATGGTACCCCTGCCACCTCAAGCTCATGAACCCCTCTTGAAAATCCTATCTGTGCGAGCTGAATGATCATGCCCTTTTCGAAACATTCAGACTTTAAAGGGAGTGCAGCTCCCAGTTGCCTCAGTTCCTTCTCCTGAAGCACAGAGTCCTATGTGCATAGAGAACTGTCGGGTAAAAGAGAGGGTGGGAGGTAAGTGTGAATGTGCAGAAGCAACTTTCAAAGAATCACTGTTACTGGGAGGTAATCTAGATTTTTTCTTCAATGGACCCCTGCACATTCTGACTAGTGGGGGATTAATGAGTAGTACAGCCCTAGCGGAATGTAGCCTGAAGAGTTCTCAGGAAAAGACTGCAGAACACCTCTCCTAAACCCATAGAGTTTACTGAGTTTATAAACAGAACTCTAAATAGCTGTTCTGTAGAGTTCAGCAACTGAGATAAATCTAAGGCACCTCACAGACTCGGCACTGGCCTTACTGAGTGAGCCTTAAGCCCTGATGGGATGTGGACTTCAGCTATGTTATAACAAAACTGTGTAGGATCTAATCCTCTAATAATCTCTGGGTGAATGGCACTTTTCCCCATACAGGCTAAAACCATCGGTTGAACTGCATAAAGTTTAGTTATTTCCAAATGGAAAGAGAGAACCCTTTTCACAGTAAACATATGGAAACAAGCTTCACCTCCATAGGCCACGGGCTTAGGGGAAAGAGACAGGGAGCAGATGGATTGGTTGATGTGGATGTGTGAAACCACTTTGGGAATCAACTTAGGATGTGACTGGAGGACCACTGTGTCCTTATTCAGCGGTTCTCAACCCGTGGCCTGCATGCGGCCCAATTAGCACACAACTGCAGCCCAGTTCAAGTGCTAAAGGGCGGCCCGTGGGCTGTGGTCCGCCAAGTTCCTGTCTGCCCGCCGCAGAGGGGTGCGGGCTGCCCCGTTGTCCAGCATAGTGGGGATGAGGTTGGGGCTGCCGGCCCGCCCCTCATGGTGGGGGTCCAGGTCAGCTGCCCAGCCCTGCAAGCTCCGGGGTCTGTGTCTAGGGCAGCCGGCCCGCCCCACGTGGCAGGAGTCTGGGGTCCAGGGCAGCCGCCCGGCCTCGCCAGCTCTGGTCGGCTCTGGCAGGGGTCGGGTCCGGCAGCCAGCTGGCCCGGCCCCATGGGGGTCGGGGCGGGCGGGCAGCCAGTCCCACGCAGCAGAGTTCTGGGGTTCAGGCCCCTGAAGCCCAGGTAACACATTGTGTATTAAGTTGAGAACCACTGCCTTATGTAATGTGGTATAAAAACAACAAGGAGTCTGGTGGCACCTTAAAGACTAACAGATTTATTTGGGCATAAGCTTTCGTGGGTAAAAACCTCACTTCTTATGAGATTAGTCATTACGATTAGTAATTCTTCACTAGCTCTCCTGATAGAAGTAATAGTCATGAGAAATGTAATTTATTTTATAAAGATAAATGTGTAAGGGTGCAATCCCCCCTAAGGCAATGTTTTCCAAACTTCTGAATGCTGGCTAACCTCTTTGGGAAAATGAAACCAACTGTGCCACCTCTGCTACACTGCCATGTGCTGTTAAAGAACTACATACCTTAAATTTATGCATCTTCCATGATTCTTACCCTTCAGGCACCATCCACACTAGGTCAGTGTTTCCCCAGAAAGATTCACATGATAAGTAAGGCAGACCCTCTGTTCTTAGGCTTCACAATCTATAAAAGGCCTGTGATGGGGTATACACCGCGCACTTGCCCTTAAGGGGTTAATGGAGGCCAAATGGGCCAATTAATCTATTAGGCTTAAGGCTGAGAGAAAAGCCTTAATTAGAAGAAGCTCACCTTCTGTGCAGGAAATAGCAGAGCCTATATAAGCCAAGAGGCTGGCAACAAAAGAGGCTGCTGAGAAAGGCTTCAATCACTCCGTAGGAAAAGGGAAGAGTGTTTGGAGGCTACATAGGCTGCAGTTGTTCCCTGGGAGGAGGGAGTGCTGAAGCTGGCAGACCCAAAGATGTAAAGGAGAGCCCAAAGGTTAGGAAAGGGCTCAGGGAAATGCAGCAAGGTATGGAGTGAAACAGACCTTGACTGCTGACTAGAGCGTCACTGAACCAGAACCCGGAGTAGAGGGCGAGCCAGGGTTCCCAAAGCAGCCACTGGGGAAGTGGCACCAGCAGGGAAGTATGTAGGAAGATTGCCTGAGCCTGTGTGGGGAAAGAAACTTTCCAACCCCAGGAAGGGGAAGCCAAAATAGTGACCAAGCCAGAGAATTGGGGGGCGGGATAGCTCAGTGGTTTGAGCATTGGCCTGCTAAACCCAGGGTTGTGAGTTCAATCCTCGAGGGGGCCACTTAGGGATCTCGAGCAAAATCAGTACTTGGTCCTGCTAGTGAAGGCAGGGGGCTGGACTCGATGACCTTTCAAGGTCCCTTCCAGTTCTAGGAGATGGGATATCTCTAGTAATAAAAAAAAAAAAAAACCCACAAAACTGAGTCACAAAGAGGCTGCAACAACTCCTGGGGTGAGACAGGA